GAGGAGGGGGAAAAGGAAGAAGAAGTTGAGAAAGATGCTGCTGAGAACAAGGACAAACTGAAGATTGAAGATGTGGGCTCTGATGAGGATGAGGATACAAAGGAAAGCACGAACAAGAGGAAGAAGAAGGTCAAGGAAAAGCGCATTGATGCTCAGGAGCTGAACAAGACCAAGCCTATCTGGACCCGCAACCCAGATGACATCACCAATGAAGAGTATGGTGAGTTCTACAAGAGTCTCACCAATGACTGGGAGGACCATCTGGCTGTCAAGGTAAGCTAAATATACCAAAACCACCCAAACACAGCTTTGCAAATATTATTATCACAGAATATTTTAAAATAATAAATTCTTTCTTTGCTATTATCTCTGCAGCATTTCTCTGTGGAAGGTCAGCTGGAGTTTCGTGCCCTGCTCTTTGTGCCAAGAAGAGCGGCATTTGACCTCTTTGAAAACAAAAAAAAGCGAAACAACATCAAGCTGTATGTGCGCAGGGTTTTCATCATGGACAACTGTGAGGAGCTGATTCCAGAGTACCTCAGTACGTAAGATATTATTAGTATAAATGACTTAAAATCATAACTCGTGGTAAAATTATCTTATTGTACCTTTAAGAAATTAATTTTTGTCTAGCTCTGGATTGCTAAGCAGTTTTTTCATTTATGTTCAGACTTCATCAAAGGCGTGGTGGACTCTGAGGATCTGCCTCTGAACATCTCCAGAGAGATGCTGCAGCAGAGCAAGATCCTGAAGGTCATTCGCAAGAACCTGGTCAAGAAGTGTCTGGAACTGTTCACTGAGCTGTCTGAGGACAAGGACAACTACAAGAAATTCTACGAGCAGTTCTCAAAGAATATTAAAGTAGGTCAAACCATTTTAATTCATTTTTTAGTCTTAAACCTTCAAATGAAATATATGAATATCATTTAAAATGAACTTCAATATTAGTAACACATTATTTCATGTTTCAGCTTGGCATCCATGAAGACTCCCAGAACAGGAAGAAGCTGTCTGAGCTGCTGCGCTACTACACATCAGCCTCTGGAGATGAGATGGTGTCTCTGAAGGACTATGTTTCTCGAATGAAGGATAACCAGAAACACATCTACTACATCACAGGTTAGGTTTCATTCTTTCTTTTTTTTTTTTTAGTTTTTCTTAAAAGTTAATTCACAAATGATTCAATAAATTCAAATTATCTTTTACAGGTGAGACCAAAGAGCAAGTAGCTAATTCTGCTTTTGTGGAACGCCTTCGCAAAGCCGGCCTGGAGGTTGTTTACATGATTGAGCCTATTGATGAGTACTGTGTCCAGCAGCTGAAGGAATATGATGGCAAGAACCTGCTTTCAGTGACAAAAGAAGGCCTGGAGCTTCCTGAGGATGAAGAAGAGAAGAAGAAGCAGGAGGACCTCAAAAATAAATTTGAGAATCTTTGCAAGATCATGAAGGACATCCTTGACAAAAAGATTGAAAAGGTAATTGGAAATGTCAATAATTTGCTCATCCAGTTTAAAAGGTTCATTATTTTTATGCTAATATAGCATGATAACTTTAGTTTGATTGTGATAATAATATAGCATTTCATTACTGACAGGTTGTAGTCTCCAACCGCCTAGTGGCTTCACCCTGCTGCATTGTCACCAGCACTTATGGCTGGACAGCCAACATGGAGAGGATTATGAAGTCTCAAGCACTAAGAGATAACTCCACCATGGGCTACATGACAGCTAAGAAGCACCTTGAGATCAACCCTGTACATCCAATCATTGAGTCCTTGAGGGAAAAGGCAGAAGCTGACAAGAACGATAAGGCTGTGAAAGACCTGGTCATCCTCCTGTTTGAGACTGCCCTGCTGTCCTCAGGATTTACACTGGAGGACCCACAGACACACGCCAACCGCATCTATAGAATGATCAAGCTGGGTCTTGGTGAGTGTTTTTCTCCATGACACTACAGACATTACAAGGATTCGTCATATACCTTGTTTGCTAATGAATGCATTCATTTACAGGCATTGACGATGATGATTCTGCAATTGAAGACCTCATTCAGCCTGTTGATGAAGACATGCCCATCTTGGAAGGAGAAGATGACACATCAAGAATGGAGGAAGTTGACTAAAACATTTGGTGAACTCTTCTCTGCTTTCTTAATTATTTTTGTAAGATACATTGCTTCTTTAAATCAATGTTTAATTGAAACATAACTCCACTTTCTTAAATAGTGTTAGTTTTTTTATGTATTTAATGTAGGCCAGTGTGGCTCAGTCTACATTGTATCAGCTGCTTATATAAAATCACAGACAACAATTAATAACATTATATAAACTCTGAGAATTTGACTTGTTTCTGTTTTTGTAACTATTACATTTTTAATGAAATACATTCAAATTTGTAATTAAATATATTCAGAAATAAGATCTCTTTTACTGAGTCATTTGCATATGCTTGAATTTCATCATTTTGTTTGGCGCCTGCAAAGTAATAATGGTTGAAAGAAGATATAACTACAGGGGGGTTGCAAATGAAGTAACTTTCATTCACCAACCTCGTCCTTTGTTTAATACGATGTTCTGGAAATTTCAGTGAATAATGCTGCATGGACCATTGTAATTGCTGCTTCCTCACTCCTCCCTTTCCCTGCTCAGCCTACCATATTTTAGTCCCGCCTTCTCCAGCCAATAGCTGATAGAAAGGCGTGAACATGTTGTGATTGACATGCACAGAAAGAAATATAAAGTCATGTGAGATAAACCTATCAACATAAACTTTTAAAATTGAAAATACTGAC